ATAGTTCTTGGACTTTGACCTCCGTGACAGCAGACGATTAGCCTATAGATAGCCTATACCAGCACATGTACAAAGAAAATGTTAGCGCGATGGACTTTAGTTTGAGTAACATTATCGCCAGAGCTAAGGGGAAATAGTGCGATACGATAAAACGGCAACGCTTATAAATTCGTGATTATCACTATCTACACCAAGTTGTAGTAGTCTCTAGCTGTCAAATCACTGGGCCATCTTCCAAGTTAAGAGATAACACGCACGTTCTTGTTTCTGTCAAACCTACCCCGGTGTCCTTGTTCAGCAAGGGCATAAAATTCTCCACGATTAAATTAAACAAATTATAGCGATTTTCCATGACGCGCTGCAAAATCATAAGCCCGTGAAAAAAAAGGGGGGGGGGGGGGGAGAGAGAGAGAGAGAGAGAGAGAGGGAGAGAGAGAGAAAGAGAGACATATATAGAAAGATAGAAAGAGAGGGGCGGGACAGACAGACAGACAGACAGACAGACAGACAGACAGACAGACAGACAGACAGACAGACAGACTGATAGATAGAGCGAGGGAGAGGGAGAGAGAGAGAGAGAGAGAGAGAAATAGAGAGAGAGATAGAGAGAGAGAAAGAAGATTAGGGGAAAAATAACTCGACGAAACCGCTTAGTGCAGTCCACCCTTGACATTTAATATGGGGTGAGAGAGGTTTATAAGCTTCGCCGAATTAAAAGGGCACAGGAAGCAGTACGAATACGTTAAGCTCTCATCCCACATCCTCCATCATAGATGATACATGGAGTAGCATACAGCACGGGGAGACGCGAGGCGGACGGCAGACAATCTGAAAACAAACTTTCAACCGGTCCTGAAAGAAGAGAACGCCGCTGGCAAGGCCGACAGAAAGAGACTGCCATTATGAGACCGATTTCCTTTCTTGTTCTGCGTCCGCCTCCCCTCCTTGCCAGCTCTCCATCTCACCCAGATATTTCTATTAGAGAACTGATTTTTTTTTTTTTACAAAAAGAAAACTGCAGGGCGGGCGGGAGGGGAAAATATAGGGGTGGGGAGGCAAGGGG